GGGGGGGAGGCGGAGAGTACACTCGATTAAATCTCACTCTAGGAGATATCACCCTACAGGTATGAACCTTAGTGCTAACATCGTTGGGCCCCGATAACATGTTGTTAGACAACAGCATCATGGGAGCATTTGGCGGAGTGTTTGGTTGGCAAGCAGAAACATTGTCTTTCAAGCAATCAAACTGCGCTATTCCAGCAACACACCGCAGAACTCGAAACCAAACAACCAATACATCGGGCGAAGACAACTATTCGATAGTAGTACAAGACGGCGAAGCAGAACCAGTTCCGGTTTATATCAACAAGAAATGTTGCATACCGGCATGCAGTGAAATCGCTTTAGAAATCCACTCAACGGTGGCACCCCCTACAGAAACCGTAACTGCCTTGGTAGAACCGCGCATATCACCTTGGAGGACATCACCTCACCGGATACGCCACAGACTTTCCATCGGATAGTCGTTGCTCGTACGGTGTGTCATTGGTCCAGCACGAAGGGAGCAGTGGTTCAAACCGTCAATCCATCTAACCGACTAGCACGTTTGCCAGCGAAAATTTTGGTAGGATACATCTCTCTTGTCGAATCGGTATAGTCGAGCCCTGACGAAGGCTCTGATGAACCTACCGATCGATGTAGTGTTCTCTTGTTCTTCTGTTTGGTTTATGTGGTGGTTTTAGCACTTGGCATATATGACCATGGTACGTCACGCAGGAAGCGTTGTGCCGGCGCGTCACCCGCGGCTGGAGCCTAGAAACGCCGAGAGCGTTGCTTCGGGTGTGTAATCAGCGTGACCGGTTCAATCTGTCCTGCCTTGGTCTTGTCTTGGAAGTGCGGCCGTTGGAATCCTCCGTGATAGCGACGGTTTTCTATATTTAGGGTGTTGTTTAGACGAGGGTTTTTGATCCGGTTGGCCGGGTTTTCCCTCGAGCCTGTTGTTGTTTTGAGTCCCTTTGGTAGATCAGGGGTATCCATGCCCCACGTTAGGTTTGCCATTCGCGTGCAAACCGGGGAGGGTGTTCGTGTGTTTGGATACGGACTCGTTATATCTACCGGCAACAACAGACGGCACGCAGATGGGGCATATGTACACCTTGAATTGGTTGCATGTGCGGGGACCCCTCGAACTCCAAAGGGGGCTTCACTCCTCCCTACTCCCCTTGCGTGTCTAGTACAAGAGATAAAACGTCTTCCCCTTCCAATTAAAGGACATATACGAACACATTCTGATCAAGGCACCGAATTCGAAAACAAAATCATGTCACCAGCTACAAACGATTATTGGATACGAGAAAACCCGCACGACTACATATCGTCCGCAGGGTAATTCCGTGTCTGAACGAGTACATTCGACAATGCATGCAATGCTCGCGATGCACAGTTCCATGGATCGTGACAACTGGGCGGAGCTTTTACCGATTGTTCAGTTAGCGTGCAATACGTCTTTCAACACAACCATGCATGTTTGATGTTCGGTCGCCAAGCACGTTTACCTGTAGATGTAATTCTGGGCATTCCACACGTGGGAACTGCGCCAACAACGGAACGTTCGCCAAGAATACTCGCGATAATCTACAGATTGCTTTTGAACTAGCAAGACGAAACTTGACTGAACGAGCCTCAAAACAAGCCCTGCACGAAACGAACAATTGCCGCAGTTTCCCGTGTTCAAACCAGGTCAAAAAGTACTTCTATACAAGCCGTACCAAGACTCAGACGGGCCGGACCCGAAACTGCTTTTCTTACCGTGGCGCGGGCCGTACATTATTTCTGCATATAGATTCCTCAGTGCCGGGAAATGATTTCTGCGTAGATCATCAGCACACGGTTAAGATCCTGCACCTAAAATCCAACAACCGCATTCACCAACAAACAAGAATTCGAAACGCAATCGAGACGATGCTCCACCATCATCCAAGCGAATCAAACCTTCGGAAGGTGCACGCGTTAGGATTAAACAAAATGTTGAACTTGCCGGTCACCAGTCTCTAGCACCCGCGCGAGCGGCTAAAGAAAAAAGTCAACCGAAAAGCACTAAAACATCCAAAGCTCAACGGCAGAGTAAAGGAAAAAGAAGGCAAACACGAGATACATATCACGTGTACACAAACGGTAAAGAGGGACGTGTCCGAATACACTCGGATACTACCTCAGCATTTGTTTGGGGACAAATGCTGGCGAGGAACAGTCAAGTGATCCAACTCTAGGTACACCATGCGTTCGGACTCCGCAGTACCAACGATGAGTCTTGACACAAACAGTATAATCTGCTGTGTACACACCGTATGCCTGAAATTCCTGCAACAAGCTTGCGAACACCCCATACAAGCCAATACTTATCATTCAAAGAGCCTTCAGCGAAAAACAACCCTTGCGCCACAAGTGTTACCGCTGGCCCACAACTTGAACTGATCAAGTGGCTTATCGGTGTCCATCAGACACCTTCCGCTCGTGATTCCGGGAGAGACACGAGGTCACATCATGGAGTCTATCATGACTCAGTGTCGAATACGTTGGCGTGACCAATACATTCTGGACATCTCTTGGTATGTATGTAGGTACGTGAGTTCAAACGTTTGTTTTTTTGCACCACCTGCCGTGTTATTCAACACGAGGTGTAGCTATCTGAGGATGGTTGGGGAAGGAAAACAAACAAGAGAACTATTGTTGTTGTAAGGTTAAGGATACGATACTTAAACTACCACGACATAACCCATCCTCCTCATTTATCACGTGAGATGAGCGCCAAAAGCAATCGAAAGATGTATTTTCGGCGAAAAAAGAGGGGGGCTACAGTCGTCCCCGCTTTAAAGACACTCTTCTTAAGGAAACTCCCCGCTATAAAGCAGAAGATTGCAGAGACAGAGGCGTTGAAATCTGAGTTTTGTGAGGAGCGGAAGATGAAATATCTGTTGGCCAATCAGAGTGCAGCAGCATGGAGTCAGCGTGAAGTGTCTGAAACCTGACCAGAAGAGTAGACTTGGGAGCACTTGTTGGTCTGCCCCAAGGAAGCACGAGGGAGGCTGCTGCAGCCAAGAGGTATTTCGGAGGAGATCTTTTTCTTTGGAGGAGATCTACTTGGCGCGGGCTGCTGGGGGCATTCACATATCGGTTGGAACGGGAGGTTTGAATCTTGGCGGCTCTCGGTTGCATGAAATTTGGGCCATGTCATCCGAGCACAAGTCGCCGGAGACGGAAGAGCGCCTTGGTGTCGTCCGCAGTGAAGGATCTACTGGCGGTCAGGTCGAGTCGGCGTTGGGGACGGGAGGGGGTTCATTTCCTCCGTCTCAGGTTGTGGCGGGCGCTATTGCGGCGGCCGCGAGGGCTGCTGCCGATGGCGTGGATTCACCAGCAGGTGACGTGGCTTCAACAACGCAATCATCCGCAGATGTTGGTGTTGCCGAGAGCAGTGGGTTTCCGACGCAAAGTCATGCTCGGGCCTTGGCTTCCAGCGGGGACCGCCAGCCGGAGCTCGGGCGTGCGGATGACCAAGTCCAGGCCCACGTCATGTCTCGTTTGGCCCATATGTCGGTGGGTGCTGCGGCGGGGGGAGAGCCCAGCGAGGGCACCACGCTCGCGTCTGAGAATGCGGAAAAAATCGCTCGTCTGGAACAAGGCCAGACGAACATTGTGGCGCAGCTTACCGAGATCGCTGGGTTGCTGAAGAACCTCCGGCCGGAGTCGGGGCAGGATGGGAGTCGTGGGCCCGGGGGCTCGGGAGGCCTCGGTCTGGTGCCGGCGTCGTCGCCGTGGGGCGGGGGCGCGGGCGGGGGGGCGAGTGTGCCCGCGAGGTCCAACGCCAAAGAGGAGGCGAGGAGGGAGGCCACCATTTGGCAGGCCAAATACAATCAGACACTCTGGGTACTTCGGGGGCAGCGGGGGCCGGAGCCCGGGCCACAGAAAG